GGTGATGAACTGTAGTTATGTTGAAGAATGTTTATAGAACATAAACCATTACCACGAAAATATGACAGAGCTGTAACATTTTACTCTCAGCTGCAGTCAGTGCGCTGTATTGACCATCAGACATTTCAGAGGACCGTGTGGTTGAAGTGGTTGGACTGCTGTGCAAATTGACCACTGCAGTAGGTGTTGTAGTTTTAGGTGGATCCTCTGTAGACAGAGAAGAGTTTGATAGGCAGTGCAGGAACAGAACAGCAGCAAACGGCTCACTATACAAATTAACATTAAAGGTATTTACTGTATCATTATTAACATAAACATATATAAACATTGATACATGTTTATTGTATCAGAACAGACATAAACAACTGAACACAATAGTAACAAGGTGAAGCTAATACAGAATATAGAGAGTTGAATGCAAGAGTTTGATGACAGTAGGTCATATTGTATGTTTTATTAATTTTTTGCAAAACTTATTTCTTTGTCGACGTCCACATAATAGAATAAAACGTAACTTTTGCACAGGTAATATTTTATGTATTTTTCCCCCCAGTATGTTAAATTCAGTATTTAATTAAGCATGAAAATGTGCAGTATTCTGATCTCTAGAGGGTGTGTTAACTTATTTTCAGCAACTTATTATCAATAACTCATAATTTGATCATGGGCACACAAACTGTAGCTGAACAGTGATGAGGGGTAGAATGCTTTAAAAATTCATAGAGTTGGTTCTCTATACTGCTACATTTATTATTTACGTGACATACTAAACAAAAGTCTATTTGAAGTCTTACTTATTTCAGTCCTTTTTAGAGACCTTCTTTCTTTCTTTGTCCTTCTTCCTCTACCACTCCAGAAAGATCCAGTCCAGTCTTAAGCAGCTGAAAGCCTGAGAGAACCCAGAGGGGAGAAATACCCACTGAATTCAAGTGTGAAACAGCTCAGTTTCAGGTCCTGACCTGTGTGAACTATTCCTCGTAGAGGTCATTTGGAATGTGTTCTCTACTTTTGAGACCAGACAACCTCACTGAGTTCTGGTTTAACCTCTGATGTAATGCTTTTTGTGCTGGTCCATGACTTATGTAACAGTTCTGACCCATGAAAGGTGGTGGAGGTAGTCAAAGGTTGAGGACAAAAGAATCAAAGACAAATCACAAGTGCTCACAAATGCTGTCCCTTCACCAATTTACTTATATTGAAGCAGATTAGCGATTAAACTCATTTATTTATTTATTTGTTTATTTTCATGGTATCATTAAAAATAAAATCAGCCTGTTTTAGACGATCAAATTCACAGGACAAAGTGGTACAGTAGAATAGGACAAAATTATTTTAATGGGACAACACAGGAGGAGGAAGACAACAGAGAAGGCAAATACTAAATCAGTCAGCACTACATATTACATATTCAATCCCACCAAAACATGCTTGAACCGCTGCACTCTAAGGCCGGACCTACACTACACAGGTTTTATCCAGATTTCAACCCTAATTTGCCCAGTTTGGCAAATATTCACAATCTGAAACAATTTTCCAGGTCAGAAGCTCAATTGGAAGCGATTGTTGGTGTGGATGATCCAGCAGTATGTGAGGAGAAACCTTCAGCCTTCTGATCGAGCTCTGAGGTGATCGGATATTCTCTGATATTATCAAACATGTTTGATATTCATGACTCTGCTTAAGCAGACTGTCCACCTTGTTGCTCCTGTCCACCCACAATGCACCATCTGTCACAGGTAATGAGGATCCCCAGATCTGCATCAACTGCAGTTTAATAAAATACATGCCCACCCAAGAAGCACTGGTCAGTTTATTATGATAATTTTATAAAAAATAATAAGTAAATAAAATTACCAAACAAATTTAATTGTTTTACACATTCGTCTTGACTTTTTTTTAAATGTACCAAATTTCATTCAGAACTTTCAAGATCAAAATCTGGTCAGAAGTCCAGTGAAAGTTTCCTGATCTCTTTCCTTTTTGTACAGTTTGGCGGTTACTGTTCAATACACATTCATTCACAGTGTGGCCTCATTAAATCATTAGCAGATGTTAATGAGACAGTGATACACATCTGATTTCAGTTTTTCAAAAATAATTTGTGGACATTGTGATCAGAAAACAACTTTAATGAAAAAAATTAACTTCCATATTTGCTGTATTTACAGCCAAACAAAAGCATCGTGAAGATCTTGGTAAAGTGATAATTTGACAGTCCGTGGAACTTTACATAACAAACAGTATGAATATATTAAGCAGAAAATTTAGAATATCAGTGTAATTTATTGATTTTATGGCAATTATAGCATCAGCAGCACAACTTATAATTAAAAAAAAAAACATCAATACTAATCATAATATAATTAATATTGCTTATACTATATTATACTGTATAATAACATCTATCATTTTTGGTGATGCTAAAGCAAGTTGGTAACAATGAAGCAAACTGGCAAATTTTAGTTCACAGTGTCAGATAAAGCAAATAAACCACCTAGCTTTTACTGAACAATATTTCAAACTAGAAAAGTGCATTTCCTAAAGGAAACGCGGAATGGCTGCGCAGCGGTTACTATGGAAGTCATAAGGAGGAATGAGGGATAAAAAAAACTACACATAGAGGAGTGTGGGTCAGTAAGGCGGTGGATAAGAGCTTGGAGACCTGATCTGAATGAGTACATGTACTTTGGTGGCTGTTGAGAAAAAGACAGATTAGGGCTTTGTTGCGAAAGAAAATGAATGGGACGCTATGAAAAAAATGACATATAGAGGAGTGCGGGTCAGTGTGACTGTGGATTAGAGCTTGGCAATGTGCCCATGCATTTCAGTGTCTGTTGCACAATGGAAAAAACAGGGCTACGTTTGGCCGAAAATAAATGGAACTCTAAGGGAGGAACGAGGGATGAAAAAATCAAACAAAGAAACAGAGGAGTGTGGGTCAGCATGGCTATGGATTAGAGCTTGGGGATGTGCCCTGAGTGAGTACATGCATTTCAGTGGCTGTCAGGCAAAGAAGTAATAGAGTTTGAGTGGTGGTGAAAAATGAATGAGACTCAGTGAGAGGACCGAGGGATGATAAAATGACAGAAAGAGGAGTGCAGGTCAGAATGACTTTGGATTGGAGCTTGGGGACCTTCTCTGAGTGAGTACATGTAGTTTGTTTCCCATCGGGTAAAGATCAATAGAGTTTGAATGGTGGCGAAAATGAATGAGACTCAATGGGAGGAACGAGGGATGAAAAACAACAGAAAGAGGAGTGCAGGTCAGAATGACTTTGGATTGGAGCTTGGGGACCTGCCCTGTGTGAGTACATGTAGTTTGTTTGCCATTGGGTAAAGAAGCAATAGAGTCTGAGTGGTGGCAAAAATGAATGGGACTCTAAGGGTGGAACGAGAGATGAAAAAACAACACATAGAGGAGTGCAGGTCAGTATGGCTGTGGATTAGAGCTTGGGGATGTGCTCTGAGTGAGTACATGTATTTTGGTGGCTGTCGGGCAAAGAAGTAATACAGTTTGAGTGGTGACGAAAATGAATGAGACTCAGTGAGAGGAACGAGGGATGAAAAACAACAAATACAGGAGTGCAGGTCAGAATGACTTTGGATTGGAGCTTGGGGACCTGCCCTGAGCGAGTACATGCATTTCGGCAGCTGTCGGGCAAAGAAGTAATACAGTTTAAGTGGTGGCAAAAATGAATGACACTCTATGGGAGGAATGAGGGATGAAAAAATCAGAAACAGAGGAGTGCAGGTCAGTATGGCTATGGATTAGAGCTTGGGGATGTGCCCTGAGTGAGTACATGCATTTCAGTGGCTGTCAGGCAAAGAAGTAATAGAGTTTGAGTGGTGGCAAAAATGAATGAGACTCAATGGGAGGACCAAGGGATGATAAAATAACAGAAAGAGGAGTGCAGGTCAGAATGACTTTGGATTGGAGCTTGGGGACCTGCCCTGAGTGAGTACATGTAGTTTGTTTCCCGTCGGGTAAAGATCAATAGAGTTTAAATGGTGGTGAAAATAAATAGGACTCTAAGGGCGGAACGAGGGATGAAAAAACAACAAATAGAGGAGTGTGGGTCAGTGCAGCTGTGGGTTAGTGCTTGGGGACCTGCCCTGAATGAGTACATGCATTTTGGTGACTGTCAGGCAAAGAAGTAATAGAGTTTGAGTAGTGGCGAAAATGAATGGGACTCAATTAGAGGAACGAGGGAGGAAAAAGTGACTCAAAGAGGAGTGCGGGTCAGTATGGCAGTGGATTAGTTCTTGTGCTAGCTAAGTGCAATTCCACCTTAAAAGCAGTTCCACCTTAAAAAATTAATGATGTGTGCTGATACTGCTGAGCATTAGGCTGTGAGCATGTGAGACATTGGGCTCCGTGTGTGAGTTTGGATGGGTGTGTGAGTTAACGGCCCATTGTGACATCACGTGTGGCATGCTGCCAACATTTCGGTGAATGTAAGTCTATGGGAGAAACAAAGGATGGAATAAAACGACAAACGGATGAGTGCGGGTCAGAACAACAGTGGATTCATGCTTGGGGGCCTGCCCTGAGATAGTGTATAAAAAACAGTGTCGTTCGGGCAAGCAGAAGTACCTTAGATTGGCATGCAAATGTTCACCCCATTCATTCTCTATGGGAAAAAATTCCGTAAAATTCCATTGCTGCACGGAATCCGTGCATCCGATCAAAAAGCTGTATACAAGCACACATCACACAATCAGTCCGGACAATCTTAAAAATTGGAATGGTGTTGATATCTCGAAAACTGCGGGACGAGTTACAGGATTGAGTTACGAGAATAATATATATATATATATATATATATATATATATATATATATATAACAATGCGCAATCATAATAAATAACGGTGAAAAATGGTAAAAGAGCAAAAGATGGTTTTCACAATGTAGATTATGCCCCTATATTAAACAATGTGGAGAAATTCTTAAATATTTGGCTGCCAAATGGTGAATTCATGCTGGTGTTGTTGGACTGCACTACTCCAGACTGACCACTCCATCTCCATCAGCTGTGCTGTAGTGAACTCTGGCAGGATCTGATAGAGATGAACAAATACATAAATGAAGACACAAAAGAAAATAGAAAATCAGTATGAATATAACGGCTTGATTGTGTAGTTTGTACCTTTGTTTCTCTTGGTGTGATAAACCACAGCTACTATAATGTGGAGAAAGATCACAGTTACCAAGGCAAAGGGGACGAAGGGCAGAGACTGTGGAGGTTCTGCAACAAATAATGGATCATATTATTCATTTTATCTCACAGCACTAAGTCTTTAGTAACAATCATGTATGTTCATTCACAGATGTTGATCAAAAAACAACTGCAGTCAGTGTGCTGTACTTACTATCAGGCATTTGAGATGAATGTGTGGTTGAAGTGGTTGTACTGGTCTGTACACTGACCACTGCAGAAGGTGGACCCTCTGTAGAGAGAGAAGAGACTGACAGTCAGTGCAGGAACAGAACAGCAGTAAACAGCTCACTTTAGATACACAGTAATATTAACAGTTTATTTTTTATTATAAGGTATCAGAACAGAAATGCATTCTGATCTTTGTAATTCAATACAATCGCACCACAATGAGATGCGCAGTGTATATCTAACAAAACAATGTAGAGGCCAAATTTAGTTTGGAGATGAGAACAAATGATAAAGATGTTTAAGACCATTAAATTGGTCTAAATTTAAATTGTAAATTACTTAGTAAGAGTTTCAATAGGCTGTTCAGGTTTGTAGTCAATAATTAAAAGGGCCATAAGAGAAACACTCAGTGTAGCATACTTGAATTAAATAAAGGTTTGATTTGGGTGATGTATTTATTAATGATATGATTGAAGATATTTATAATGATTTTGTTGATTAACCACAACATAAGGTTCATAAGGATCGTATCTTTGTGGCACAGGCTATTTTCTTGATGTTTATTTTCTGAATTAGGGTCAGTCATGCATTAAGCTGAGGACTTTACACCAAAACATTAAAGACCACCTGCCCAATATGCTGTTGTTCTTCCATGTGCCGCCTGTGTCCAGTGTGGTAAAGCGCATTATCCTGATGAAAGAGGCAATCAAGGAACACCGCTGCCATGAAGCACCTGGTCCGCACCAATGATTAGGCAGGTACTGAGTGTCTAATTTACGTACACAAGAATGCTCAGATCCAGACTTTCCGAGCAGAACATTGCCCAGAACATCACACCCTCTCCACCAGCTTGTCTTCTTCCCACAGTGCATCCTAATAAATGGCTGTCCACGCGATATAAGCTCTACCACTCTTTTTAGGCCTTTTCAACAGTGGACAGGGATTAGCATGAGTGATCTGACTGGTCTGCAGCTACTTCTGACCACTGTCAGTTAATGTACTTACCACTATCTGACTCTCTGATTCTGTCATCTGGCTTTAACGATTTAGCATTGTAAAAGTTGCTCTAATCTTCACGCCTGCCTGTTTCTCCCACATCCAACACGTCGACTATGAAAACAAACTGTTCACTTGTCTTCTAACTAATCCCAGACCTTCACATGCATCATTTTTATGAGATAATCAGTGTCCTTCACTCTGTGAGTAGTCATAAATTTTTGACTCATTGATGTATAATTTAAATTGTTAGTTCCTCACCATTCTCATGTGTAACATAATCAATACTTCATGTGCAATAAATTCATGATTCATGAAGCAATTTGTCTAAAATATCATTACAATGTAAATATTTTCTGCTTTTGTATTTATAATTGTTTATATTGTTAATGTTTGTGAAGGATAGAGTTTATATTTTTTTATCTTATTTTTATATATATTGTATTATATATATTGTCTATAGTAACAAACTGTAACCTTTTTAAGTAATTAACATAGTTAATTATTAATTTGTTAATTCTCTTCTTGTTACTTATTTTTTGAGTGCCTTGATGTCCCTTTGCTGCTGTAGCACTGTGAATATCCCTGTTGTGGGACTAATAAAGGAATATCTTATCTTATTTGTTTATTATGCGTTTGTTGTTTTGCTCATGGTGCTTTTGCATATTCAGAAATGGGACACAGTTGAAGTTTTCCAGAATTCACATGAACCTGCACACAAAGTACACAAAACCAGAAGACTGAACTTTGGGACAGGCTGTAGGGACAAAGGGTAATAAACAGAACTAAAACCAGTAATATGTGAAATTTTAAACACCGCTGCAAATCATGTGCTTTCTTGTTTTAAAGGTGATACTAAGTGAGCACGTCTTCTACACAAAACAAACCTAAAGATGGATATATTTGCAAACTTAAGTTTAACATATTGAAAGAAAAAAACATGAAATATAAAATGTGCCATAACTTTTGAATTTTTTTTTTAATATTTCTTTTTGTGAAATGTTTGAATCATTAAATGTATAGAACCCCAGAAAGATAAGATAAAAAAATAAAAATTGAAGTGCCTTCATGGGTCTAAGTTCTACTTCTCCATCATGATTTTTTCCACTACAACAAATTCAAATCAGGAAGGGTGATAATTTGTTATTGTCAAGGATGTATAGTGAACATTATAAACAACTCCAGTAAAAAACAAGAAGGCAGTAACATCTTCAGTTCAGCTGCAGTCAGTGTGCTGTACTTACTATCAGGCGTTTGAGATGAACGTGTGGTTGAAGTGGTTGGACTGGTGTGTACACTGATCACTGCAGTAGGTGTTTCAGTTCTAGGTGGACCCTCTGTAGAGAGAGAAGAGACTAACAGTCAGTGCAAGAACAGAACATCAGTAAACAGCTCACTGTAGATAAACAGTAACATTAACAGTTCATTGTAAGTGACCAGAACAGCCTTCATTAAAATGTACAGATGTTAATCTTTATACATCAGTTCATTGTGACTATAGAAGGAGAATAAAGCTAAACAGCAGAGTGTAATAAATGCCTAATAAAACCGTGTCCAGCTGGATCAGATAAAATTTAGTTTTATTTAGTGTTGAGGTATTCAAATAATCTTTAACCTTCAACAGTGAGTCTGATGTCTGTGTGGTCACTTTCTGTAAGGTCATTTTGTAACCTCGCCACAATTTACCCTCATACACACATCATTTACATTAAACATGAATAGAACAGGGGGCTCCCGAGTGGCGTTGGCCCTATCATCAGGAGATCGCGAGTTCGATCCCTGATGATGCTACAGCCATCCGTAACCGGGAGTCCAAGAGAGCACAACTGGCCTCGCTCTCTCTGGGTGGGTGGCATGGTTCCCCTCTCCCCCCATCACTCACTCAGCGCGATGCTAGTCAGCGCAGGCGTCTGTTAGCTGACGTAACAGACCTGGCGGTTGGCGCCTTCCTCCGAGCGCGTTCAGCTGTCCAGTGACGTTGCGTGAGGGGCAGCTCGAAAAGAAGCGGTGGCTGGTTTCACAGGTCTCGGAGGAAGCCTGTGTTAGCCTTCACCCATGCTATCGTGTGATTGGGGGAGTCCTAACTAGCGGGTGGAATTGGAGACGACTAAATTGGGGAGATAATTGGGTTAAAATCCAAAACATGAATAGAACAGAATGTCTTCTTTTATTTTGGGAAAAGAATGTGATTGAATTTTCATAAATCACTGACCGTTTCTGCAAAATTATTACAGTATGTGAAATGACTTTACCGCAATACATGATTGTATTGTTATTATTTTCATTGTAAAAAGTACTATAAAAGAGAAGCTTGGAATAGTTTGTTTTTAGAGAGGATGATAACAGTCACAGAGTCTGTTACTCTTAATTTAGACGTCAAAAATAAGATGCCCTCAACACCAAACACACACACACACACACACACATGCACACACACACACACACACACACACACACACACACGCGCGCACACACACACACACGCACACGCCCACACACACACATGCACACACACACACACACACGCATACACGCACACACACACACACATACAGACACACACAGAGACACACACACACACACACACTCCTCAAGTGTTTGTAAATTTAAGGTTATTTATCAACTGAAAGGAGTGATGAGCTAATTAATATCCAAGTCTGGTAAATGCATTATATTCAACATTTAACAACTCAAACTGAATGATCTACTATTTTAGTGAAGTAAATCAGTGAGTACGTTTTAATTTTTGTAGACATTTTTTCCGGAAAAAAGCTACAAAGTTATTCAAAACATTGAATAAAATTAATAAAAGATAGTAATAAAATTAATAGGAGCAAAAAAGCACGCATGTAAAATGAGACATAAGATGCCCATATACACACATATAATAATAATAATAATAATAATAATAATAATAATAATATGTTGTAAATATAGAAAATACAAATTACTATTTATGTACGAAAATCAAAAAAGGCAAAAGAATAAAAACCTGAGTCTTAATAACATGCAACAAACCAGACAGACTAATGTCCAGAAGAAGAGTGTCCAGATTTTAGAGAGTAAAAGGCTTCTTTTTGATTCCTTTTTATTAGTGTGGTTTTCTATATGTATTATTATTAATGACATGATTGATGTTGATAGTGACTGCAAATCAAGCACTTATTAATACTGTAAGTGTATTTGTACAGTAAGTTTGTGTAACAGGACGTTTTCTTGATGTTAATTTTCTTCCCTGATGTTTCTGATTTTCTCTAACACACTGAGCTGATGGACACATACTCTGATTAATAATACTGCAATGCATTATTCAGAAAAGCAGGTGTTTATTATGTATGTATCGTGGTTATCCACAGTGTGATACTCCACATTTATAGAAACAGGGGTCAAAATTATATTTTTCATAAAGCACATGAACATGAACACAAACCACAAGTGTGAACATTTGGAAAGGCCGTTCATCACAGCAGTGAAAAAACAAACAAATAAACAAATAAATAAATAAATAAATAAATAATGGACTAAATGTCTTACAGTAAGTTTAGATTAAATACTTTAAACAGAGGAGTTGAGACTTTTACATACGACTGTATGTTTATTAGCTGTTTATTATCTTGTGTCTCTGATTTAGTTTTACAGTAAACAGAGTGAAGCTCATGCAGAGACACAAGATAATAAACAGAGCTAAAAAAACACTCAGTCATATGGAAAGGTTTCAACACGTTTGGTCAAATGACCTGATTTTTTGAATTCCGAAATGGAAATAAGTGAAAATCATCCCCACAAAAAATAAATACGGCATTTATTTCTACTAATTTTCATTTATAACATATGGAAAAGAACTAAAATATTAAATATAAAATGTGCCTTTTTACCCAGGCCACCTTTTATGTTTTTTTTCCTCCTAATATGTTAAAATTAAGTGTGTTCTGGGTGGAGGATTATTATAATAAGTTTTACTTAGAAATCAAGAAAGCATATCATTTGAATAGGGTGTACAAATTTTTGAACAAGACTGTAGGTGAGGATTGATGAGGGGCGAAATGTATAAAAACTCAGAGCTGTTTTGCAGATACATTTAATTATAAGATTCAATATTCTTTATGAATGAAAACTGATACAGTGTTTTACCTTGTACAGTCAGTCTGATGATTAAATATGCACCTATAACTTCACACCAGTAAACTCCTCCGTCCTCTTCAGTCAGGTGTGATATGAGTAGAGAGAGATTTCCTGGAGAGTGACCATTAACCAGCTGAACTCTGTTTCTGTACTGATCACTCTCACTGGATATCTCTTCCCATGTGTTTCTGTATCTGTTGTCTTTCTTCCAGCTGAATTCTTCAGGTGTGGTGTGAAGGTCAGTGCAGTAGCAGGGCAGCAGTACTGACCCTCCTGTATGAGCTGAAATAATCAGTAGTTGTCCTCTGTTCTCCAGAGTGCAGCCTGCAGAAACACACATTAGTGAGATCAGATTAATTATCTACTCTTTGTATGACATCATGATTACAGTTTTTATTTTAAATATTTGATGTCAACCCACAGCTTAGGATGATTATGAATGGATGAATACTTACAAGTATTCCCATATTTTATCTCTTGCATTATTATCACACACTGACACTATTTCTCCCTGTGTAACGTTATAAGGTTCAGGGATGGTTTAAAAATATTCAGGACTAAAGACCTAGAAGCTCAGATCAGGCGACACCCCTGCTGATACGAATGCATTATTCAGAAAAGAATGTGTTTAGTATGTATTTATTGTGCTTATTCACAGTGTTATATTGCACTTATAGAACTGGGGGTCACACCTATTTTGAAAAGCACATCACCACAGCAGTAAGTTAGTAAGTAAGAAAGTAGGTAAATAAATGTTTAACAGTAAGTGAAGATTGAACATTTTGAATAGAGGTGTTGAAACTTTTCCCTATGACTGTTTTATTAGCTCTGTTTATTATATTGTGTCTCTGATTTAGTTTCACAGTAAACAGAGTGAAGCTCATGCAGAGAAACAAGATAAGTAGTACGAACAAGACAGTGATATGAAAATGTTTCAACATCTCTGGTCAAATGACGTCATTTGTTGATTTTCATAATGAAAATGAGTGAACACACCTTCTACACACAACAAATTTAGATATCTTTTTTTTTATTTATTTCTCCCAAAATGTTAAATTCAGAAAAAAAGTGAATTTAAATTTAGTCTCTGTTCTCTGTAGAGAAGTTAAACCTTACTTTCACTAAGAAAATCTACAAAACATGTTATTAAAATGAAGGTACACATGACTGTACATGACTGTAGGTGAAGAGTTATGAGGGGTGGAATGTTTAAACTCAGAGTCGGTTTTCTATACAGATACATTTAATTATAAGACTTAAAATTCTTTGTGAATGAAAACTGAAACAGTGTTTTACCTTTTACAGTCAGTCTGATGGCTTTATATAAATCTTTAACTTCACACCAGTAAACTCCTCCATCCTCTTCAGTCAGGTGTGATATGAGTAGAGAGAGATTTCCTGGAGAGTGACCATTAACCAGCTGAACTCTGTTTCTGTACTGACCACTCTCACTGGATATCACTCTATATGTTCGTGTTTTTGTGTTCCCTTTCTTCCAGCTGAATCTCTCGGGTTTAGTGTGTAGGTCAGTGCAGTAACAGGGCAGCAGTACTGACCCTCCTGGATAAGCTGTGATACTTATGACTGGTTCTCTTTTGTCCAGAGTGCAGCCTGTAAAAACACACATCAGTAAGATCAGATTAATTATATACTCTTTGTATGACATCATAATTACAGGCTTTTTATATTTAAAATATTTAACATCAACCTACAGCTTAGGATGATTATCATTTTTGGATATAAATCAAAATATTAAATCTTCTTTACAAAAAAAGAAAAACTAATGTAATTATGTATATGTGTGTGTGTGTGTGTGTGTGTGTGTGTGTGGTGTTTTCTCCCCTCCGCTTGTGCTCTCTCTCTCTCTCTCTCTCGCTCTCTCTCTCTGTCTTTCTATAGGTGGAGTGAGATGTCAATCGTCAGCAACAGCGTTGCTGTCAATCGGCCAATCAAGCACGGCCATGCTGCTAAAAGGTGCGGAGCCTCCCATTTAAAAACCACGCGGACTACCAGCGTGTCAGCCTACCGGCTCGCTCGGTTTCCACACGATCACGTGTTTGTTTGATGATTGGCTCAAACCGAAGGTGCTGATCTGTCTAGTTCGGTTTTATTTGGAGTGTTTTGTTAGTTAGTTCTCTCTCTTTTCTCCCCTCCGCTTGTGCTCTCTCTCTCTCTCTCTCTCTCTCTCTCTCTCTCTCTCTCTCTCTCTCTCTCTCTCTCTCTCGCTCGCTCGCTCTTTTCCCCCTTTTCTCGTGTTAATCCCTTCGGATTGAGAACAGGTCAGATTGTGCGCACCTATGTTCCACCACGTAGGTAAACTCTGCTGTCTAGACACACTCGGCTTTTTTGATAAGTTAGTAGTTAGTTAGTTTTGCTTTCTGTGTTTGTTAGTCAGGCTAGACCTCAAATACAGTTCAGGGTTTTTTTTTATTTATTTATTTATTTTTTTGTGCCGTCCCTGTTCTCTCTCTGAGGTAAGATTAGCCCAGCCTAAATATTGGGCTGCGGTGCTGCTTGTTTGTCTGTTTGTGCTTGTAAGTATTACAGCCTCGTCAGTAATAGACTCTGGAATGAATTCTGTTTTGCCCAAATCCTTTTTCTCCTGCCGGTCACTCCACACTCACCAGTTCTCCCACTGTTCTTCCAGTTCTACATCAGTCTGTAAATTTAATCTGAACTATAGCCATTTAGTCAATATGTAATGAAGTATATGACATGTTTAACATCAAAAATTGAGCTTGTGCTAATCGCAATTTTTGACTGGCATATAAATTTAGATTCGCATGACATCAGTAACTCAGTAACAAGATAAAAAAAAAGTCACTCACCTTCAGAGACATGAAGCCCAATGAAGAGAAGATAAAAAGTCAGCAACATTCTCAGTAGTAAAACAACACTGAGTTCACAGCACACTGACAGCTCCACACCCAGCACTACACTAGCCCTGTATACCACACTGAGTACACAGCTCTCTCAGCAGCTCTTCACTGGAGTCTAACCCACTCTAATGTCCGTGCAGCTCACAGGAGCTGTGTTTAAATCAGCTAGACCGGAGCTCTTCTGTGTTTTAGAGACTTTAATAGCAGCTTCTTCAGAATCACAAACCACACACAGCGACGTGGTGGACTCTGAGTCGTGAGAACACCTACCGTTTCCTGTTTTGCACTTCACACAATTAGACAAAAAGCCAAATAAAGACACCTCTCTGGTGTCTCACATCCTTGCAGAAAAAAAAATGTGCACATACCAGCATGAATTCCATGCTGGTCTAAGCTGGTTTATACTGACCTGTTGCTTAGTGTTGCTGTTTTAGCTAGTCACCCACTTTGGTCATGCTGGTTGACCCACATACCAGCATCCAAAACAGAACACATGCTGGTTTCTCTAGCAGAGACAATTTTCCCAGTTTACAGCCATCTTATTTAACTCTTCATTCTCATGAAAAGCTATTCCAGGTATGTTCCACCGGTGGTTCCTCTGCTCTCTTGATGTCCTCCAATATTCACACTTTAATACACATACACTTTGATGGAATAATACCATGTATGACAGCTCTGAGCTCATGTAGTTAACTGCATTTTGTGTTTATTTGAATCTATCAGCTCTCCTTTCTGTGGTCTCACTAGTTGCTCTCTCTGGCCCATTTTTATGGTACTGAGATGTGAACTCATGCAGGTGAAACATCTATGTGGTCTACGTCTCTATTTTCCAGTAGCTATAATAGTATTAATTGACGCTATGATTCAGTGGGTTTAGCCACACTGACAGGAAACCTGATGAGGCCTCAGAGGCACAAACACCAGTCTGAGTGACACAGAGTGCTTAATCTCACTTCCTGTGGATTCCTGCCACTTCTCACTGGAGGTCTTTTTCCACCTTTGCCTCTTGACTACTTTGAATTGGACAGGACAGTGTTGAACTAACCTTTTGAACTTGGGAGTTTCTATTTTGTCATTTGTCCTCAGACGTACATAATCCAGAGCCTCAGACGCTGCAGGAGGCCACTATTGCTGCACTCCTCTGCCACTTTCTCCCCTGCCAGCTGCACATCTGGCCTACCCTGATGAGGTTTACACCTTATCAGCATAGTTGGTGAGTAACTGTCCACCCTCTCAACTACCTATGTACCTATCTTCCCTCTCAGTCTTCTGCTAGGTGTTGGCCTGTCAGGGCTTTGGGTAAGTAAGTGCACCCAAGCACAGAGAGGGTAATCTGTGAGTACCAGGTTTTAACTGAATCATGCAGATGAGGTTTGCTGAATTACTGGCAATATTATGATCAGAGTGGAGTGTAATAGTTTTGATGTATGTATTTTGACATTCGGTCACCTCAGGCCAGGATCAAATCCCTGATGAATAGCTTTACAGCCCAAAGCTTTACTACTGTGTCACCAGTAGGTGCAGGCCATTGATGGTATTACACTCCTAGAATTAGCGTGGAAAAATGGCAGAAAAAGGGCAGACAAAGGAGACTTTGGGCAGACAAAGGAAAGGAATCTTTTTCTTCTCTGTTATTTGGAGTAAGCCTTGTTTGAAAAGTTGTTTGTCTTTTTTTCTTTTCCTGTTTTTTTTTTCATTATTATTATTATTATTTAGAGTAAGACACTCTAGTTACCATACTGTTTACCCCTTTACAACGGTGTGAAGCCAAACTGCTGTTTGCCATGGGCTTAAATGTAGCATTGCACAGGTGTGTCTGGTTAGCACTAATCAGCCTGTGGGCTTCTGGGAACTGGAGTTGGCACTTAAAGCTGTCGCCCTCTGTTGGTGGGCAGCGGCACAGGCTGATCCACTACAGTATCATGTTCCAGTCACCTCATATAGTGAGATTGAGAGCAGCTAGCTTGTTTTAGCCTGACATACAGATCACTGTCCACAACACTGGTGCTGAAGCTGAGCTGGAGGATGCAAATTCAGCACCATGGACAGTGACTGACTGGATTGGAGCGTCATGCAAAGTGGGTGGAATTTCCAAAATGAGGAGGTTTTGGTAGCTGCTCAATGTATTAAAGTTTGAGCAACCAGTGTCTAGTTCCAGTGTTCCACTGCCCAAAGCTGGGAGGCTTTATACCACAAAAGCAGAAGTACATTCTGAGAGAGAATGCAGATTGAGTAGAAACACTTTCCTTAATGATGTTTATTATCACTTGTTTTTATTGGTCTTAGTCAGCCTATTTAAATTAGCATTTTCATGACGTAAGAAGTAAGAAAAAAAATACACCCAACTTTACTGACATAACAGTGAAAACAACATGAAGATCACACATTAAAAACCCAGCTGTTACCATATTGTGCCCCACTGGCTCCCCTCAGTCAGATATTTCCAAACCAGCATCACCACCACATTGAATTAAATGATATGTCCTCTGATTAATGTGATGAAAGGTGAGTTTATTACTGAATGGAACAAACGATGATGTATTTTGATTATTTTGAAGAATGTTTATAAAACATGAGCAATTGCCACAAAAACATGACAAGGCTGTAACAAAAACAACAGATAAGAAAAACAATGCCTTCCAAATAGTAACTTTACAGTAGAGGGCAAAAACTTTCTTTACTTTCAATGTAAGTCAATATAAAAGATTTTACTCCAAGCAGTTTTGGAGCATTTCTACTGGTCTATTCATGATTTTCATGCAATGTAAAGGACAACTGTTGTGGTCAAATGATGAACAGTAAACACAGAAATAAATGGATGTTTTTCTTTAAACAGCAATTCACAATGTGGCTTCACTAAATCATCAGTAAATATTAATGAGATATTGAAACAGATCTGTGTTCAGTCCCGTTTTAAGATTTCCAAAACAATTTCAGGAGGTTGTGAACTAGACACAACAGAAAAGCAGTGAAAGTGCAAAATATGTTTAAGATGTGTATTTTGTCCCTTCATGAACAGCATCTGAGGAGCAATTGTTCAGCATTTTCACTCGATGATTTCAAGATGTTTTAGCTGCCAAATAGTGAAATCATGCCAGTGCTGCAGAATTGTACTACCCCAGACTGACCACTCCATCTCCATCAGCAGTGTTGTAGTGAACTCTGGCAGGATCTGAAAGAGATGGACAAAATAATTGATAAATTAAGATACACAAGAACATTTGTTTGATCATAATGGTTTGATTGTGTAGTTTGTACCTTTGGTTCTGGTGAGATAAACCACAGCTACTATAATGTAGAGAAAGATCACAGTCATCACAGCAAAGGGAACGAAGGGTAGAGACTTTGGAGATTCTGCAACAAGAAGTCTTTAAATAACCATCATGTGTGAACATTTACAAATCAAGTAATGTGGTTCATGATTTCTGAACAAAGCTCAGATGTTGAGTTTTATCAATACCTTAATCTCTACAGACATCTAAAATGTAGTGAGTGTGTGTTTATGTTAGCACCGTATTTATTACATAAGTTAATAAGCCATAAGAGGTGCTAGTCAAGGATGTCAGCTCTCACCCTCTCTATTCTCAGTTTTCATTTCAAATGTTTTAAGTGTATTCTTAACATGTTACAAATGTACTTGAACATACACTGTACTTAAACTCAACACTGAACATAAAATCAGGTTATATGTGCATATCTTATTTTTTCTACAAAGCTCCATCTCTTCTGCAAGAGGCTAAATAAATCATTAAAAAGTATTTTGAAATTTTCTACAAAGTATCAGACACAGCAACTCTGACCCTCCACTCTTAGAAGAGATTTTGTCTTTAAAAATAGGCACATTGATGTGTTCAGTTTAGGGTAATGCAGGTTTGGGTTCATTTTAAAATGTTTTTTAAACATACTACAGTAAGTAACATGGGTAGGTGTGTTGTCATTTCATGCATTACTTTTAAGTGTACCCATCCTCTAAAGTGTACCCCTCCCCCTAGACACAAATCATATAGCCAGCCATGAAAGGCTCTCCAGCTGTCAATGTTGCCTACACTCAATACTCCATTATAGTGACCCACTTGAAAAACTTCAGTCAATCAACCTTTACTTCAACTCAGAAGCACATTGAGGGAGACCCTCATTTACAATGTAGGTGAGTGAGTTTAATAGGGATTGAAAAAAGTAATGGAAAGAAATAGACATAAAATAGCAATAAATATATAAGAAAAGCTAATTAAAAGTAAGTAAAAGGACTAAATAAGATACGTAATAAAAAAATGAAAAGTTAAAATTAAAGTTAAAATTATTTAAGAAAATAGTAAAATAAAAAAGAACAGTAAGAACTTGACATCAGATAAAACAGTTGTAGGCAGACTTACTCACTGACTTCATGGTAAAAAGTGATGTGTTAAATGGCATCACACCTACCTTTGTTACCTTGACTGTGGCAGGAGTAAACACCCTCAGGGTGCAATTGGATCACTCAAACTACATTCAGAGGCGGTCAGAGACAGATCTTGACCGCATTTAACCCTTTAAATGTCAAATACACTGAGAACTGTTCACTATTCTCAGCACTTCACTCAAACGCTTCACTTGCAGAAGCATCAACAATACCAGGCAGGGTCAAAACCATCAGGATATCACAGAAGATCAGACAAACAGTCCAAAACGTGACCCAGTACTCAATAACAGAACAAGGGGTCAAAACCAGAGTAGAAACACAAGAAATATAAGACTCAGAACTGCAGAGTGAACATAACAAGACTTTACACAGAACACAAGCCTGAATGCCCCTTAAATACCCTAGAAAATGGCCTATAATGAGGCACATGTGTCAACTAGAGTCTCAGTACTCAGAGTAAGACCTCTGCTGGTGTGGAGGGGAACTGGCAGCAGATGTGACATTTACACTAAGTTTATTTAATACAAATTAACACTAAAAGGTTTACTGAAAGCTTTTAGTTTATACTACTTCTAATACAACTATTAGTATTTATTATT